AGACCACGGGTGGTCTGGCTGGTTCTGGCACTTGGGTCTCCTTCCCAGGGTCCGGCAGCGGGGCAGATTTACAGGACGCACCTCGGACAAACTGGTAGGGTAAGATTTCCTAGCAAGGGCTCTGGATTTGGCCCAGAACCTCTTCTCAAGGTGCCAAAAGAGAAGAAATCAACTCATAGCGTTGGATCAATAGTTTCTTCCCCCTTTCTGTTTAAAAGGAAAATGTCCAATGCAAATACCTCACCCGAAAGCTTAAGGTCCAAAAATCACAACGGGTCGTGCCTGCGTTGCGGGTTCCACTGCGGCAGTGGCCTTTGGCAGTTGCTCCCTAGTCCTGGTTTCAAGAACGTATCCAGAAGAAACAGTTCTAGCAGCTGCACGGTCTGCCCAGTCCTTGGGCTTGGGGGTAATTCGGTTACGTTTTGGTTTTCAGCTAATTAATTTTGTTGGCGATGTGCTTGGTGGCGTTTCCTGACGCAGATGCTGTGTGCTGAGTTCAGCTGCCTGCTTGATTTTTGTGTGGAGCGTGGTTGGGATAGCTGTGGCTTAAACCTAGCTCCTAATGATTTCAGGATGTCTGCGAGTGCGGCGTTCCAAAACGACCCGACGCTGCCGCCTAATTCCCGTTCGGCGTGGCGGGGGGGGGGGGTCAGAGCACGGGGCCGGCGGGGTCGCCTGGCTGTCTTTCTGTCCTGACGGCGCTTGTGTCTCCGCAGTTCTGTCCAACCAAGGCTGAAGCCCGACGGAGTGCTGCGAAGATTGCGCTGATGAACTCGGTCTTCAACGAGCATCCCTCGCGGCGGATCACTGATGAGTTCATTGAGAAGAGTGTTTCGGAGGCCCTGGCATCTTTCAACGTAAGGCTTTTCAGTGCCCAGATGGCAGCAGCTGGGGGGGACGGATTGACAGGGGAAAAAACCTCAAATCGTGGGAAGAGAAGTTTTCTTTTACATCTGGAACCCTTTCTGGCAGGTTTTTCTGAGTGACTTCTGAGTATTAAAACTTTAATTCTCCTCGTCCTGCTTCCCGTCCCACACAGCCTCGCGCTCCCCTGGCCTTTGGTTGTGCCGCCCTCGCATCAGGCAGGGTAGGGGAAGAGGGCTGAGCTGTTCCTTCGCGTGGCCCTTCTGTGACCGGGTCGTCACGTTGGCTAGCTTTCTTCAAAGCAAATGTTTTCCAGAAATGTGAGTTTCCTGGGGCGGGAGCTTTGCATTCTTCTTTTACTGCTCTAATTATACCTTATGCTGGAGGGAGTCCTTGCCGTGCAGTCACATGGCAGTACCCAGAGTGTTGTAAGAACTCTGAAATCACCATAATGGGCTGCGGAAAAATCCCCGTTCCAAGCGGCACTGCCAAAAGCAGAGCGGGCTTGGTCACTCTTGAGAGCACCGTAGTGAACGACGCAAGTATCCGAGGCTGAATTAGGCCGGTGAGCACGTCTGCCGGCGCAGGGCTGAGGTGCGTGAGGCCTCTCCTCAGTCTGACCTGGAATTGTGAAGTGGAGAGGATGTGGCAGGAGTGGCAGCTACCAGGGGAGCTGCGCTAGGTCGGGGCTTGCAGCTCTTGTGCGAAACATCTCTTGCAGGGCAATCGAGAGGAAGCTGATAATCCCAACACCGGGATCGGTGCTTTCCGCTTCATGCTGGAATCCAACAAGGGAAAGTCAATGCTGGAGTTCCAGGTACTGTTCGTCATTTAATTACACGGTTCACGGGGTGCTTGGTTGGATCTTTCAGCTACCCGTAGCGCTTGACATTCACAACAAAAGTGGGGCTTTCCTCTCAGAGCACAACTGGGGATTTGTGGCGCTTGCAGGCGCTGGAATAGCAGCAGAATGCTGCGAGGTGGGCTTCTCGCTGTGAGTGAGAGGCTCAGGGCTGTGACAGGGCTGTGCGTTCTGCTCCAGCGTTTGCAGTGGCCCAGCGCTCTGATAACCGGTGCTGCAGGTCCGGATGATACCTCCCGGTACCTGAACTCATGGCGTTCAGCGAGCCATTCCAGCTGTGGTTTTTGTCCTCTCCCTGTGAGGTGGGAGGGATCTCGCTTCCCGTAGGAAGGCTGGTGACGATCCCGCCTCCAAAGACCTGCTGATGGTGGCATCAGGAGTCTTGATTCCTGTCGTTAGGTGCCCTCAACGCACAGTGTTATCTGAGCAGTCTTCGTATCCTGCCGAGAGGGGCTCGGTCTGTCTCTCCTGAGGACGAAACATCTGTGAAATGAAAAGCACAAACTGCTGAGGGAAACTGCTGGAGCACTTATCGGTTCTGGTTAAAGGAGCGGGAGGAGTCCGTGCAGAACAGATGACTGAGGGCTGAGATCCTGCTGGGCTGGATTCCAGCCTCGCTGAGGAAACTGCTCCTAGGAGCAGAGCAGGCAGCCAGGTAAATGAGACTCTGCAGAGCGCTCGGAGTTCTGTGAGTGGCTTGGTGGCCCTGGAGCGCTCTCCTCCTCCTCCAGCGGGACGTCTGTCCCTGCACATTCAGAGACCTTGTTGTGACAGTGCTTTGAGATCCGTCGATCCTTTAAACTCTGGCAACTCGAGGCGATTCTCGTGCAGACGAGTGGAGTGTGAGCGCACCAACTGGAACTGGATTTGCAGAAGAGGAGGAATGAGACAGGAGCTCTGCTCCAGACAGTGGAGCGGGGTTTGGATGCGTCTCAGAGCAGGCGTCTGAAGTCTGTAGTGTCGCTGTGTTTGGGGCTCTTTGCTGCAGGCAAACTTTTCCCAAAGCCGGCGTCTCGCCTGGCTCCTTTCCCTTGAATGGAAATACTCGGTAGGCGGAAGGCCGAAGTGTTTATATTAATGGTCCTGTTTACAGAGGGTGACTCCGTTGTGTATATTCCTTGGGCTGTGTTTGCGTTTGGGAAGCCTAACCAGTCCCTGCAAATCCATGAAGGAAAATTCGTGTGGCCTGGAGAGAGAAATGTTTGCTTGGAAAACGCCGCGTTGTCACCCGCTCCAGCTGGTCCTGCAGCGTGGAGGTTGCGAGAGGGCAGAGTCCTGCGTGCGGGGTCCTGAAATCCCGGGGCAGAGGGAAGCGCCAGCATCTTTGTCTCCTCTGTAATCCGCTCCCCGGGTCGCGGGGTTTTGTCTAGCGGGGCGAGCCGGGCTTTGCCGCTGCCTCCCGGCTCCTCGGATGCTGGCGGTGCTGCCGCCTCCCCCGCTGCTGTGGGTTTCTCGTCTGTTTGATAAATCTGAACTCATCAGCGCCGGAAGTCCTTTGCTTACGGACTCAGGAGCTGCAGATGTACTCTGCCATCCTTGCAACTGGGAAGGACTGGGCGTGATGTTGCAAAGCCTTTCTAGCTGGAAACTAGCCTGACCTCTCGTCACGCTGACTCCTCTTGCCGTTGCAGGAGCTGATGACCGTCTTCCAGCTGCTGCACTGGAACTGCAGCCACAAAGCCATGCGGGAGAGGCAGTGCTCGCGGCAGGTGAGTCCGGGGGCCGGCGGCTCG